ATGGAAGTTAAAAAAAAAAAAAAAAAACTACTATAGGGGTCAAAACAGAACTTTAATAAAATATAAAATTAAATAACTAAATTGTAATTAAATTGTATTATTTACAAATTACAATTGTAGCTAGACAGTCGCCTATGGCTATGATGTTATTAATACAGTTGTCTGATTGATTTTATAGTCTCAAGCGTTCAGAAATCACACAAAAGAAAATTGAGCAGTTTTACTTCAATAAAACCAAGAATTAGCCTAGTTTTTGTAAAGGTTGTGATGTCCACATGTTTTTTTTTAAGAAATTATAGAGGCTAGCATTTCTATCGCAAAAAGGTGGCCAAACATTAAAGATTAAGTGGATATTTGAATTAAATATTTGGTCAATATTAAAAGGATTTGATCATCCTGTAAGTGTTACAACAGCAATTACCAGGCCTTTGGCGCATTTTGCAGGCATTTGTAACAATATGTAGGCTAATGTACATAAATCGTTTATTTTGTATTACATTATGTATTTTAACAGTGTTATTCAATGAAACCATACGATTATTATTAATTAACCAATCATTATTGCCTTGGTTGTTATGCTCTACCAACAGAAGAGGAGGTGCAACCAAAAATCAAAAAACATTTGAGCTGAACAAAGGTCCAAGCTACCATTTTTGTATTGTTTTTTTTATTCGTAGTAAAATTATGGTTAATTTTCGTAAGGTAACATGAAAACTCTGAGAGAATATTAAGGCAGATGTGGCAGTGATATTATTGCCGACATTAAAACACGTTATTAACGTCAACATCCAAAAAAGTTTCACAGGATTATGAACGTACCTAAAAGTGATGCACGGGCTTCATCTTGGGCTTTTTTTTTCTTTTTCTTATCTCGGCGCCGGACTACTGATGTCTTTTCCCGGGCATATTTGTCCATCAGTTATGATCATTTGCAGTTAGCCGCAAACATGAGGCGGATGCGGGAACGGCGCGTCACGTGTGCTTCACCTGTCTACTGCGTTCACCGTCAAACGCATTTTTTATAATTATGTATATATGTTCATGTTTATATTTTTATTTACATATATGTATATGTTAATATTAACATAGAACAAAAGTTTTTTTTTCTGGGATGCGTTCTGGGATGGTGCCCCCCTGGGAGTTGGTGCCCTACACAAACTGCGTACTCTACGTATAGGGAGCGGCGGTACTGCTGACATGATATAACCGCTAACACACCCTGAGCACATGTGAGTTAACGTATTCCTCTTATCGGCAAGACATATCGGCAAAATGTTTCATATCGGGCCGATGCCGATATGTACATTAAAAGCCATTATCGGCCGATTCCGATATCGGTCCGATAATATCGTGCATCCCTTTAGCATCCTAACGCCCGGCCGAGGTGTGTTACCTGGGCGAATATGCCCTCCGATAGGCCCGGAAAGGTGGGGTGGCGGGGCTGGGGTGGGGAGG